CCAGGCTTCTTTTTAATGACTGTATAGTATTCCACTAGAAGGTTATACCATAATTTATTTGATCCTTATTAGTGGTATTTGTTTCCAGTCTTTTCTTCTTACAGATAATGATGCAATAAACTTCTCATATATATATATATATATTTATATTTATATATATGTATCTATGCACACAAGGGTTAATATATCTAATGACTAAATATGAAAGTAGAGTTAAGTCAAAGTGTATGTGCATTTGTATTTTGATTGTTTGTTATTCAAATTACCTTCTAAAAGATCATACCTCCAGCATGGCAGCAGGATTCCTCTTCTACCAACAGTGTTACAGTGTAACTGTTTCCCCATATCTACCAATTCACCCTTTATTAACTTGATCTTCACTGAGATAGATATAAGCTATCTTAATGTTTCAATATACACTTCTTTACTTATGAGTGAGGTTGAATTCTTTTTGTAATGTTTAAAAGCAATTCTTCTTTCATGTCTGTAGGGTAAATGGAATAAATTGGGCTTTTAACACTACTAGCTTCTGTGGCTGTCACCTGCAGCCTTGACTGTGTTGCTGCACAGGCAATTGGGCACGTGGGCACTGGGCATTCTTGCCTGATGTGCCTAAATCTAGATGTGCACACCTGAGCTTAGAGGTCAGGGCTACAAGGGTGGCATCACTCAGAGACAGGAGAACAGCTGTGAGAGTGACTACAGAAGAGGTGAGATCACGAGAGACTGCCAGAGAGAGCCCAGTGAAAGAGTAAGTTTCATGGAGGGCAGGGAGGTTCAGTTGCCTGCCTGCCTCCCAGCCCTCCAGGCCTGGTCTGTGCCTGCCTCCTTGCATGCCAGCCTCCCTGCCTGGTGTGCCTGTGTACCTGGTTTCCTGAGAGAGCATTAAAGCCCGAAAAATCAATTGAGGGCTCCAGGACTCTCCATTTGCCCGAATCGATGGTGAACCTGCCCTCTGCTTGCTTGCACAACAATGTCCTTTGCCTGTTTTAGTAGTGAATTGTTTTATCAGTTCAGTCAAATTTGATCATAAGTGACAGACCCAAATTGGCTTGAGTAAAAAGAAGGAATGGACTAACTCCCCCAGGTAAGAACTTAGGGGTAAAGCTTGAGGCATTACTGGAGTGGTGACTTAATCTGTAATGAGAGAGGTTTTTTCAAGCTCTGCCTGACACTGGCTTCCCTTTAGTGGGAGCAAATGGGAGCAGCAGTGCTAGTCCTTATAGTTTTTCATTTTTCAAGCAGGAGAGAGCAAATTTGCTTCCCTGAGAGCTCAGAAAATTTGCAGCATCGAGTCTCCTTGATTCTGACTGGTCTGACTGGGTTATGGTCTCCTCTATAAACCAGTAACTTTCATCTGGAAACCACAATGCTCTAATTATGTTACATTAGCCCTTTGTTGGCTATAACCATTTTCTTTCTCCTGAGGAATACTGAATGAACTCTACCACCTTCTGACACATTTGAGTTTAGTCAGATTCTCCATAATTGGTTTGCACCTAATAAGTTCTATTACATCCTAATTTGATTTCCTGAGATTCTACCGAAGTCACCTTGATTGATCTCTTGGGTAAAATCATCAGCGGTTACCCTGCATTTGCTGTGGTAGATATCACTGGATCACTTCCTAAAAGCCCTCTTTCCTCTCACAGAGTGATGGCTGGAGCTATGGCAGCCATTTTACAACCATAAGGGCATATGAGCCCACTTGCTAAGGGTAATTTAGACAAGCTGTTCCATCCTGTAGAAGGTGATAGGGAAGTCCAAGAAATATTCTAGGGCTTTAAAGACCTTGTTGACCACTGGAGCTTTTACTCCCATTAGATGAGATGGAGCATGTCTTTACTGTTTGTGCCAGTTTAGTCAGGTTTTCTTTACTTGCTGTTGAAAGACTCAGAATAATTCTCACACTATATAGTTCATCCGGGGGTGGGAGGTTAGCTCGTACATGTTTGCCAGAACAAACAACTAAACTTGCAAAAATTTTGGCTGCTGGTTGAGCACACAGGAGCTCGAAATCAACCATGGTGGTAATATCTCCATTTAGAAATTGGCAAATACTATAAATCAGGTCTTGCCCAACCAAGAGTTGTTAAACATCTACCAGCACAACTGGTTACTTTTTTTTACTCAATAAAATGTTCCTAAAAATCCATGCTTACTCAAAATGCCCTTGGTACATATTATAAAAATAGAGACTATTTTCATTTTACCTGGTGCAAATGAATGGACACAGCAGCTTGATGTTTCTGCTACTCCAGTGCATAATTATGTGGTTAGTGATCTATAAAACATGAAATTGTATGAAAGCAGCAAATTTAAAATGACTTACTGATGAGTCCTTTGCATTTGAAAGGTACCTCTTTCATATTTCATGTGTGTCTGACATCCTTCAAGTGTATCTGGCTGGGCTTCCTTTTACCATCTGAATGAGGCAGCATCTCCTGAGCCCAGATGTGGTATGGTTTCTTCCTTTTTGTGGTTCTGTGTGCTTCTGATTGATACTCAAGGCTCTTTTCTCCCCAACCCTTCAAACTCTCTTTACTTTGCCCCTCTCCAGGAGGAGTGGAGCTCCCATAGTTCAGTTTTGAAGACCCTTTATTAGCTATTGCTCGGTAGAGTTCTTATTCCACCTTACTGAACAGCCTCATGAGCCTATAGATTTCCTTTTAGTCTGGAATGGCAAAAGGTGAGGGTTGTCCCACAAGGGAGGAGGCATTGTCAGCTTTCATTCTACATTTGACCCCTATGTGCATTCCTCTGTCTGGGAGAAGACTTGCCATCTTTTCTTTTCTTTTTTAGGGAGTGGGAGGTGGGGTGTTTTTCCTTTCTCCAAGCTCTCTTCTCATGTGGCATGTGGGGCCCAGTGCTGTCCTGGCCTGAGATTTGAGGACCATTATTATTTATTTCCATATATTCTGTGCCTGCTTTACTTATGCTGTTGGTAGGCATGGCCTTCACTCCATGAACATGGTAGAGTCCAAAACTAAGTGAGGGCTTGGGATGGCCTGGTCTGTTTGGTTCTGGGCTACCCAGGCCTACCCAGGACGGGCACTAGTTGTCACGTCCAGCTACTGACTTGAGTCTATGGAGGGTTTGGATCTATCAAGTCCTTCTCAAGAAGGGGGTGCTTAGGCATGGCAGAACTAGATTGGGTTCTGCTGGGCCACAGGAAAGTCTTCCTGCTCACCTATGTATTCTACTACAGACTCAAAATAGCCTCTGAGCCAGAGCTTGTAGCTCAGTCTGCAGCCCGGCAGTGTCAGGACACTCTATCACAAGACAGTAGGTGCATTATTGTGTCTGCTTTAACGCTACGGTTTGCCTTAAGAATTCAGCAGATTTTCTCATTGTTTCTAGCACTGGGCTGAGTATTTCTCTGTCACCATAACAGTTTCTGAGTCACAACTATTAGCTATTTTGTGAACTCTAATTTAATATGAGTATCTCCAAGCTACTTATAGCTTTATAAAAAGATTTCTTCTAGCTCTGTGCCTCCCTCCTCCCCCCCCCCCCCGCCAATTATGTATTTGTGAGGTCTCAAATGTGCCTGCTCTGTTCAGGACCCTTCGAGCCTACACTAGACATTTTTCCATGGTGTCCTAGAAATTGTCCTAGAAATTGAATCCCTTATTTGCAGGATTTACTGATTTTTATGGTGTAGACACCACTTAAGTGTGTCCTCACTTAATGTGGTCAATAGATTATTGGAAATTGTGGTTCTAAACAAAACTGCTAACAAAACCAATTTGACCATAGGTGTATTGATGTAAATAAGAGTCAAGTTCCTAAGCAAATCTCTGAGAGCAGCTCCCAGCAGCTCCCAGGGACACACCCCTGGACAAGATGCCCTTTCATCACAGGGAACATGTGTACTTGTGCGGGCGTGCGTGCACACACACACACACGCACACACACACACACTCCAAATGGAACAACTGAGACATACCTGTGAACCTCACATGCACATCTTTGTAATGGAGGAAAACCAGAGTTTCCAGAGAAAACCCACAGACATTTGAAGAATGTGCCAACTTCACACAGTGGCCCACACTGGGAACTGATTTTTTTCTTAACTTTATAACAAAATGTTATTTGAGGACCGGCTTTACTCCCATCATTGCTGATTAAAATCTACCAACCTGAAGCCTGGCACGCAAAGTGCAGTCGGGAAGAGATGCACACAAGTGCTTTCCTCTGGGGACACAGCCAGAAGCCAGCTGCAGCACCCAAGGAAAAGACATGCTGTTGTATACATTTAAACAAGGCACCCTCTGGGTGGAGGAATTAAGAAAGCTACCTGTTTGGGGCAAATTAGCAGAAAAGCACATCTCTGGGCAGACCCGCTCCATACATATGCTCTGGAGTGCAGATGCAGGGACCCTTCCTGCCAACACGGCCTGTTGACAGAATGAGCAAGATTTGAGGCCACTTGCCCCCTCAACTGGGCGTCTTTGTGCTGTGTAATATTGACTCAACCTTCGAGACAGTCCTGGCTCTGCTTCATGATTGTCCTGTAGTTAAGTAAAAGACAGAATTAGGGGAAAAAAGAGAACCAAATTACCAAGCAGCCCGACAACCTGTTTTATGCAGATTGTAGGATTGTTGCCAGTTGGAACACTGTTCTTAAAATTAGCTTAATTAATAGAAGGCTATTTTGCAAAAAAGAGCCTCTGACTATACCATTCCAGGAATAGACATATGATATAGATAAAAAGACTGGGAACTTGATACCTACAATACTGCATATTTAGATTTCCAGCTCATTAGATGTCTTTATGCAGCACATTGTATTTAAGAAGCAGTTTCTCATAGCTTTTATTTGGCCTACCAATTACTCTGTCAAAGTTATCGTCCCCCTTTTAATAAGATGAAGAAACAGGCTGAGAGATTAAGTAATTCAAAGTGACTCAGAAAATGGACTCAAGACCAGTTCTTCTGTCTGTATCTCACACTCCTTTTACTACTGATGCTTATACAGACGTATTTCAGTACTATGAAACAGACAAATTGAGATCTCTCTGGTGAAGATATTTTATTTTCATAAAAATATAATTGTACAATGCTCTTCAGAAACAGAGAAACTCCTTCAATGCCCCCCCAAATACCATGTGGTTTAACAGTAATCTTCTTCTCTTTACCTAAATATGTAACCGATTATATGCAACTGATTTCTTGTGAAATAGAGCATTCATGTTTTTCAATTTTCTTTGCCCCTGCTTAAAGATCAGCCCAGTTTAAACCTATGCTTTTTTGTAATGAGTCATATCAAGTCTCTCATAATTCAAAGATGATAAAATAAAATGATAAACGGTGATGTTGATAAATACTGTCAATTAGCTGGTAAACAGTGATATGAATTTGCTACAACAAGATAGAGTCTGATTCAGAAATAATAGAAAGGTTTTAGATAAAATAGAAAAAAATTTAAGAACTTTAGCTACATTTTAAAATTTAACTTGGTTAAACTTATTCCATATTCTATTCAGTTGCTCTAGTATACAGCAGGTCTATGCTAAATTAATGACAGAATATGATCGTCTACAGACAGAGATAATTTCCCCCTTACCTTTCTTTCTTTGGGGAAAAAAGAGGAAATATCCCTCCATTTACTCAGGGCAACGAGAACAGATCTAGAGGGGCTGAGCTCACTGCTACTCTCAAGCTCTTCTGTTCTCTCTCAGCCCACTGGCCATTATTACAGGTTAAGTAAGAGATGCTGGATTTCAGCATGCTTGCTGCTCCTGACCTGGAACGGGAAAGACATGCTCCAGCTGTTTTAACCAGTGACATTCACATGCTTCAAGTAGCCAAAATGAGCAGCCAGCACAATACCCAAAGCATTCAAAACCTTCCTTTTTAAGACCTGCTTTCTCCTGGTTTGATCTACTCCAGAATATCAAATAGAAAGATTTAGGAATAAACTAAGCTAAATTTTAATTTACTTTCACCCAAAATTACAAATCTTCTACCTGAGGACAAAGTCACTGCTCTTCTAAAAATAATGGGAAGCTTGAGTGACACTGTATTTAAAATTATAACCAGAGAAGAAATACTTCAAGCACAATGGAGACATTCCATTGAAGAGCCACATTCATTTTGGAATGTTTGCTTTGAAAACAACTCTCGGGAATTTAAAAGGTCCTGAACAAAGCAACACAGATTAAGTCTTGGGTTGTTTTGCAAAATAAAAATATACATTTGAGTAGACCAGATGGCAAAAACATACCCATTACAATCTGAACACTATATTTAAAACACTTAAATTCTGAAGGCCTGAATATTGACAGTCCTTAATCTATTGATATTTGTGATCCTAAAAAGACATTAAATACTCTTAAACCCCCAGTCCTCCAAAATACAGAGAAACCCAACAAGCTGGGCTAGTGGTAGGTATATCAGTAGTCACACAGGACTAGACTAGAGATCTGAGTTTGCAATCTAAGCACAAGAGATCTTTAGGAACGCAGGCTAAGGGGAGGCACTTTATTCAAACATGTGGCCTAGGACAAAGGGGAAAGTACCTTGTCATCTGAAACTACATGGTCCATGTCCCGTGTCGCCTCACAGCCAAGCTAGAGTATGACACCTCCTCTTTGACCGCCTTTTAGAACAGAACTTACTCTGTTCGGAAGCTAAATATTTTGCTTCCTTCGACCGAAGAACAATTATAAGGTAGCAGCCATGGGGAACATGACTCCTGATCTAACTACAGGAAAGAGAAGTGAGAGTGATAAAGTGTCTCAATGGGGAAATCAAAAGATTCCTAGGTCTATCTGAGTGTATCACATTAGGAGCTTGATTTCTCAAGCATCACGCCATTGGCTAGTTAGGGAGGAAGTAAAGGCAGCTGTAACAGGAACTGATGTGCGCTCTGCACCTCCTGCGTGGCCCTGTGTGTGGCTCTAGCTCCAGTGCTTCCCTCATGATGCCGGCACAGCTGGGCTGAAGCAGACGCACACAGCCCTGTTTCTTTTTCTGGCTCAGAACACCTTCTGAGGAAGAAACATGGCAGGGAAGAAACTAAGTGTTAGATCTACCAGCAATTTATCCCTCCTTTTGTTCCAGATCTCTTGAGGCAGAAACTCGATCTCAGCAGCTAGTTTCATTCTATTTTCTTTAGAAAAATTCTTTAAGTTAGTTGAGCACACAAGGAAATGTGTGTGAACATTCACTCCTGCCCTCGCCACATACATGTAGAGACATACAAATAGAACACATACATACAGACACACTCTGGGCTGTCAAGATGACATATGCTGCTGAAATGCCTAAAAAGTTACTTCTTCCTTAAAAATAAAATTTGACTCTTTTCCAAGTATGGAGTAGGTCCTAGCAAACTTTTATAAATATAGTTTGAGAAGACAGCAACAAATGTTTTAAATAAGAGGCTGTCTTGAGGGTTTTTCTGATGGATTTTGTTAACATGTACATTTTTTAAAACAGGCATTATCAGTATGGATTATAAAAATAGAAATGTATATATTTGTTAATATATATTCACAGCTTATGCTGGAATGGCTCACAGGAGAAATCATGGTTCATGCAGAAAATAAACATTGCTCAAGTAAATGTAAAGGTAAGATTAGGTCCATAAAGACTGAGAAATTACAGTCAGTAATAAGCCCATTTGGTTTCTCTTTGTAGGGCAACTAAAGACAAGAAAAGAGGTGACATCTAAACACACACACACACACACACACAACTATATGAATTACATGAAAAGAATATAAATTAACCAATAAAGCAATGTGGAGTTAAGGTGCAAAAATACAATCTTCACCATTTTTCGCTACTCCTGTGTTTTCAAGCATTGCAACATGTTAAATGCCATGGGCAGCAATAACAACTAGAACAGGTCTGAATGCTTGCAAATTTTCTATGTGTTGAAAGTTAAAGCAAAATCCTTTGAGATCTATGGTCACACATTTGGTAGAAACTGCAGATTGACAGAGATGACTACTGAGCAGTAGGTAGTAAATGGAGTCAATCAATACAATCTTGCCCATTCATCCTCCATAGGAATCAGAATATTGGCTTCAACTCCTGACTCATCATTTTATCTGATCTTCACCCTGGAAAACAAATCAAAGTTACCAAAATAAGAATGTTTTTAAAGTCAATGAAGTTTGGTTAATCTGTTTTAAAATACATTTTTTTTTTCACTTTAGTTATCTCCATGAAGGCTATTTTTAAATATACACCAAATGAAAATAAGCTGATTTGGTATTATCATGAATTTTATTTAGCTGAAGGCAAATGTTATCTCATCTAAGAAAAGTTATCAAGAAGTCAAACTTTCAATTCTATGAAAGTTTTTTTTTAATGCTTACAGTTTGAAACTATTTCAAACACAGTCACAGTGATGAAATCAATATATATGCAGAGAACATTCTAAAGTCTCTTCAAACTTTGATGCTGGGACAACTGGATATTCATATGGAAGATAATTAAGTTTGCTCTCTACACTACATAAAAAAATGAACTCTAAATGTATCAATGGCCTGTATATAAGAACTGAAATCATAAATCTCAGAAGAAAACATAAGTGTAAATCCTCATGACTAAATTTGGTAATGGATTCTTGGACTTGACACCCAAGGCTTAAATAATGAAAGAAAAAAATTGAGAATCTGAGCTGCATCAAAATAAAAATCTTTTGTGCATCAAAGGACACAACCAAGAAAACAAAAAGACATCCTATAGAAGGGAAGACATATTTGCAAATCATGATCAATATCTGATTTTTGATCAATCATGATCAGTATTTGAGCAATAAACATACGGAATATATAAAGAACTCCTGTAATTCAGCAACCAAATGAAAAATCACCCAATTAAAATATGGGATTAAGTAGATATTTCTTCAAAGAAGATACACAAATGATCGAAAAGCACATGAAAAGATGCTCAACATCTTTTATGAAACGAAAGTACTTTGTAAATCAAAATACAAACAAGAGGTGTTGTTATTAACAATAACTAGGTGAGTACACTCCTATTCATGGATGACATCTACTTAAAAAATGTCATAAAGTCAGTAAAGCTGCTCTTTATAGACCCATAAAGCTTTTCAGTATTTAGAATTTAATGCCATTTCACTTTCTTATTAGTGTATTACATATGACATAAACATTTTATTTAAAGATATACTGAGGAAAGTGATGAAAACTAAACCCTACCTTAAGACAGTCCTCTAAACAGAAACTCCCCACGGATTGTACTCACAGGAATTGCTATTAGCGTCTGTTTTTCCAGCTTTCATGTGCCTGCCTGAGTTCTGCTGAGATTTGCTCTGCTCTTCTCCAGTGAGTAGGGCCTTTATTTCAGAAGGGATTTTTCCTTGGTCCATTGCCATGCACCACTGTTTGTACTGAAATGAGTAAAATATACTTAGGTAAGATTTAACTAGTAAGATCTCAGGAACCACTCATAAAAATCTGAGACATAAGAGTTCCCAAAACTAGAGGTCAAATTGGCTGCTGGGAATCCCGCTTTTCATTGTACTTCCTATTAATGTCCATCGTTTAGAATAGGGTGAAAAAATGCTACTGAACTACTTCCTCTGATATACTGAAGTGTTGCTCAGATTAAAAAGCCCCCTCTGTTTAAACGAACAGTGGGCACTGACTAGAAGTCATCCTTTTTTTTTTTTTGCTAATGGTCACACTATTTTTCCCCAACTAAATAATTTTGTAATTACCTTCCTCCCTTCTATGAACGTTCACTGAACACTGGCCACACACTAAAGTACTACAGACTTAGGGATAGACAAAAATGGATCAGTCCAAAGATAATGGCCTTAAGTGGTCTGCATTGCAGAAGGCGAGAAATGATTTCTAGGATAAGTCAAATTCAATTATGTTAAAAAGAAAACCATCACCACTGAATAATAGTGTGTCTCTGGACACTCATCATGCCCCTCCCTTATTTTCTTCTCAAAACCTGAGGTAACTTGCTCCAGTTTTGTAATAATCATGATAGTGTTCTCTCTCCCTGCTACCTGTCACCTTCTCCCTGAGCTCATAGTAATGGGGTTTCCATTCTTAACACCATGCTACGATCACTACCCAAAATCTAAATGAATGAATGAATGAAACATGTCAAATAAATATGCTTAAACACAAATAGCATACTATGCCTAGTTACATATAATTATGTTTCTTTTCCTACTGCGCAATGTGTTGGAAATGTCCTTCTACATGGGCAAATACGGTCTCAAAGGATTTCACTATTTGAATGTGGTATAAGTTATTCAAGCAATCCCCTATTGCTATGTATTTGAGTTACTTTTCTCTTTTTTTTCCCCATCATAAAACAATCCCTCATGTACATTTTGCTACCAACAGCAGTTACAAGAATGTGTTATTTGTCTATTTCTTGGCTAATGAATTAGTATTACCTAGGTTTGCTAACTGAGTAGGTGAAAATTGGCATCTGCATGTTTTAATGTGTATTTCTTTGATTATTAAGTTGAGGCTAATTTTGTCTATGTTTATTGACAGACTTTCTTACCATTTCCAGTTCCTCTCTGAGGGCACATATGGCTCTTTCCCGACTGGATACCAACTCTTCCAAATACTGATATCTCAATTTTTTTCTAGCCCGGCATTCTCTTGCACTTTGCCTGCTCCTCTCAAGTTTTGCTTTTAAGTCGATTTTGGCTGGCTTCCGACCACGTTTACCAGGCTTCTTTACCTTGCCTCCAACCACCTTCAGCAAGAAAAAGAAGAAATATTTTTCCCCTTAGTTCTATTCTAGGTTAAGTGGCCATGGCTCCTAATAGCAAAGAAACATTTAAAAGTAATAAATAAATGAAGCTTGTTGACCTAAGAAAAACATAACTCCATCAAGTGCCATGAGATACTGCTTCATAGTTTTCTTTACTTATTCTTTAGACACCATGAATGTAAGAGGAGAAATAATTTTTCATTATTTCTTCAAAGATACATTTAAAAGTGTTTAATAGTAGGGGCCTCCCGGGTGGTGCGGCGGTTGAGCGCTGAGTTACGAAGCAGCGCCGGTTCGATCCCCAGCTGCTCCCCGGCCACCAGAGGAGGGTCCCACATGGTGCCAGACCTTTCCTGCCGCCCGCTGCTCCCCTCAGCATGTACTTCAGTCCTTCTGCCTGCCTGCTCCCCGCTCTGGCTCTGGTGAATTCTCTCACCCTTCCGCGCTTCTGTACCCAGTGCTTAAATAAATAAATAAATCTTTTTAAAAAAATTATTTAATAGTAAACATTATATTGCTGGGTCATAAAAACTTAGAGGCTGCTATTAAATACTTTGCCCCTGAGATTTTTATTGACTTGAGAAAATAAGCAAAATGAAATGGCAAGTGAAAAAAAACCAACAACCAATATTCAAAACTGTAAGTTCAGTATGCTCTCAGTGTTATAGTGTTATAAAACAACACAGAAGGATGTTTACAAAAGATCAATGAGGGGCTTCCCCGGTGGCGCAGCGGTTGAGCGCTGGGTTGCGAAGCTGCGCGCGGCCTCTGCCGCGCCGGTTCGATCCTCGGCTGCTCCCCGGCCACCGGAGGAGGGTCCCGCATGGTGCGCAGACCTCTCCTGCCGCCCGCTGCTCCCCTCAGCAGTGTACTTCGGTCCTTCTGCCTGCTCTGCTCCCTGCTCTGGCTCTGGTGAATTCTCTCACTCTCCCGCGCTTCTGACTGTACCCAGTGCATGTATAAACAAACAAACAAACAAACAAATAAATAAATAAATAAAACATGCCTCTATTAAAAAAAAAAAAAAAAAAGATCAATGAGGCTTTCTCTGATAGGTGTAATATAGTTTCTTTCTCATCTGTATTTCCTACTATTTTTAAATGTTTATAAGTAGGGCAAATATCAAATATGTATATAAAGTTGTGTATATATGCATATGTCTTTAGCAATTTGGCTATAAATTCCCTCTTCAGATTTGCTGAATGCAAAGGGACATATAGGAAGTCTCTGAAATCTTCAGGATAATTCTCTCTGGTCTTTGGAAACCTATAATTATAACACAGACTGTCTCAGGGGATTTCCACTTGCTCTCACTGCTGTCAATATTCCTGTTATTCATTTACCTATGTGGGCACAATTTTGGGGTGACTGACAAAGTCATTTAACATCCTCTACTGTTTAGCTGTGGAATCTCACCAAGTTCTTATACAAGATCTAACTATGAGGTAAAGATGATGAATTTTTAAATGCTTGAACCTGAACTTATACAACAAATAAACATCCTTGAAAGTATCACCTTGAAAGGGGTAAATTTACTCCAATAAACAAGCTTTTCTGCAAATACTTTTGGAACCAGTTTTTTTTATTTACCAGTTATATCACAATATATCTCATTACTTTTTTATTTACCAGTTATATCACAATATATCTCATTACTTATATCACAATATATCTCATTACTAAGTAATGAGTAATCCCCAAACAATCTGATTATCCACTTTATCTGATAAGGTTCTGAATCAAGTCTAGTTTTATTCTGAAAATTAACCTCAGAGAATAAACATGTCATAAATTCAGTAGACAGAAAGAAATAGTACTGAGGCTCTAAAGAAATTCTAAAAGAGAAGATGCAAAACTCAAACACAGGAATAAATGTAAAAACTTTCCAGTAACGGAATTCAAAAGATCAATATTTGATAATGAAAACTCTGGCTGGTTTGTTTGAAATCACTGTTAATATCATACACCAATAATGCTCAGTATCCTATAAATATGAAATCTTTACTATCATGGGTAGAGAGAACAGGAAAACCAAACTTTAAATGTGAATCAGCCGCATTTACCAGACCCTGTATCATGACGGGATAACTAACCATTGCATCCAGCATTTTACAGGTTGTCTCTGAAATGAGACAGAATACTCCCAAACTCTGGAAAAGAGTCCTCCCTTTCTACCAGCATCTTAAGTTAGTTGTTGCAGTACTACTCCCAAATTAGTTTCAAGTTTTCAAAAGCTAGTCTTTTAAAGCTTTTCTAGTTTTCATTATTATGTTTTTATTCCAATATAATAGACAAGTCAAGAAACTTTTCCTCAGAACCAAATAGTTGATGAGCAATTTCAGGATGACTACTTGATCCAAATATCTCTATGGGTTAAATTTTAAATTATGATTATAGCATATCAATTGTACAAGTTGAACAGAACATTTTGAAAACATCCTATGTTGAAACAAAGTGTATTTGCTATTGCTGCAATTTTTAAAAAAGCAATACATTAAAGCATAAAATCATGTCTACAGTGAAATAAATGGTAATCACACACATTCTTTATGTAGTAAAATGAGTCATCAATCATACAACACTATGATCCAATACTTTTGTACAATGCTGTTTTTAATTAATTCAGGGGTGGCTGTCTTTGAGAAGTCAGAAAGAGAACACAGTGTACTTCACAGACTTCATTGATTTTTGAAACAAACCTGGCATGGTCATAAAAATCAAACTAAAGTTATAACCCTTTGTTTAGTTTTCAAGGTAGCAAAATATTTAAATTGAAACTATTTTATTCCTTTTTTTTTTTACTAGAAAGGCAAAGTAAACGAATCCAGGGGCCCTATGTTTTATGTCATCTCCTGTGAAATTACATTTAAAACCACATAGCCACCACTTCTCTAACTTAATTTTTCCTCAGTAATAGACTGAATTTTTGGCTTTTGGTACCAGCTGAAATCTGATTAGTTTTCGAGAGCCAAGTACACCACAGGATTATTGTAAATCTTAAGTATAATAATATATGAGAACATTTTGTAAAGAAAAAAGATTACACAAGTATGGGTTAGTATACAAATATACTGAATTTTATATATTTTGTAAACCATAAAGATTAGGGAACAGACAAGGGAAGTTACTTAGAAACTAGGAATCACCAACTAAAACTGAAATCTACCTCACAAATTCCTTAAATATCTCTGGGACAAAAGTCATTCTTACCAATGTTTCAAAAAGTTTTCACAAACTTAATGATAACCACAGTGTCTGTCCCCTTACTTTCGCCTCCTACTTCTTCTGTGAAGAAGCATATTAATATGGCTAAATAAAAACAATGATTTTTATGCATTAACACGAACTCCAAAGAAAACTATGAAAAAAGATTTAGCTTTTTTCCTGTTCTAATTTTATTTCTATTAACATAGTGTCATATGAAAATTTAGCTATCTTTAAAATGATGTACCTCTTTATTCACTATTCATTTTACTTCTTCTTTTTAAAATATTATTTATTTATGTATATAAGAGCTGGGGTGCAAGCCAAAGGTGCAGGGGGTAAGAGGACCCACCAGAGACAGAGTGGGTAGCAGAACAGGCAGACTGACTGAAATACACTGCTGAGGGGAACAGCAGGCGAGACAGGAGAGGTCTGCTGTGCCGTGTGGGTTAGCTCCCTGGCCAGGGACTGAAGTCCTGCGGCAGTGGCTGCAGACTGCTTCATAGTGCTGAGAAATAACCCTTGCACCACTGGGGAGGCCCCCATTTTACTTTTTTTCCCCCACCCAAAACACACACGTGTGAGCTAGACATAGGTGGCCCTAAGGGAAACACTCAGGAGGCCTGCCTCCCTCCCCCCACCATTATGAAAAGAAACCAGCTAGCTATTGATTTCTTCTTTTTTTAAATCCTACACACAGATAATTATTTCATAAAGGTAGGATATTAGAGATGTTAGGTTTCAGTACAGTCTCTGCAATACTAAATCTGTCTCATATGTTAAAAATATTAAAGTCCATAAGTAAAAACTAAGGTCCTACTTTGAGTTAAGTACCTGTTTTTAATACTTTCTCCTTTGAGACAAGCTAAAACTAGATCTAGTCAAGATTTTTAGAAAGTAACCACTAGGAACTGAGTCATATAATTCTACTGTAGAACACATTAATAAGTAATGTGTCCTAATAAATAGGACACATAAAAAACAAAGGTGTGCCTAAGTAACCAACAGGTCAGTGAAATCACAAGGGAAATTAGGAGAAAACTTTGAGATGAATAAAAAAGGAAAATGGAACATACCAAAGCCCATGAGATGTGGCAAAAGCAGTGCTCAGAGGGAACTTGTAAACACTAAGTTAAAAAAGAACAATCACTTCAATCAATAACCTAACTTCCTACCTTAAGAGACTAGAAAAAAGAAGAGCAAATTAAAACCAAGCCAAGCATATGGAAGGAAATAAATCTTAGAGCAGAGATAAATAAATAGAGATGGAATCACAACAGAGAAAATCAATGAAACCAAAAGTTAGTTCTTTCAAAAGATAACCAAATTGACAAATCTTTAGCTAGTTTGGCCAAGAGAAAACATTAAAAATACTAATATCAAGACTAAGAGAGAAGACATCACTATCAACTTTATTTTTTTAATTTTATTTATTTATTTTTTTTAGAGGCAAGTTTTATTTATTTATTTATTTGTTTGTTTGTTTTGTTTATACATGCACTGGGTACAGTCAGAAGCGCGGGAGGGTGAGAGAATTCACCAGAGCCAGAGAGGGGAGCAGAGCAGGCAGAAGGACCGAAATACACTGCTGAGGGGAGCAGCGGGTGGCAGGAGAGGTCTGCGTGCCATGTGGGACCCTCCTCTGGTGGCCGGGGAGCAGCCGGGGATCGAACCGGCGCCCCAGAGGCCGTGGGCAGCTTCGCAACCCAGCGCTCAACCGCTGCGCCACCGAGGAGGCCCCACTATCAACTTTATAGAAATAAAAATGATTATGTGGA